ATCTTTTTTTTTGTAGTATTTATATTACGTTTCTGTTTTTTTTTTTTTATAATTTTTTTGCTAGTCAATAAATATAATTTGTTGAGTATCATTATTTTAGTGTTTAGGGAACGTTCGTTTCGAGTGGTTTGTGTTGCATATGCATCTGAGAGAGAGGTAGCGTGAATCGTTACGTAAACCATTTAGTTTCAAATACCAACGACGAAATTCAAATAGTTAGTAGAGTGCGCGAGTTGTCGGTGTAAGCCATGTGTACATTTATAGGGGGTGGTTGGGGTTCGTTTTCATCGGAGGGTTGCACACACAATATGTCTGCCTTAGAGCCAGCCATTAGGAACCGTCAATTTAGCAACTACGAACATCTAGTTAAACTCTAAAGCTGTCTGTTGTAGCTGTAGCTTTAGCTGTATCTGTAGCTATAGCAGTATCTGTATCTGTATCTGTATCTGTGTGTTTATGTATCTGTATCTGTTTCATTAGCCTTGGCTGCTGACACTTAATTAGCATAGTGCGAAGCTTTGTGCATGCGATAGATGAGACGCCACGGCATTCGAGAATTTCCGTTAGCCGCTTCTAGCGACCTGTCCATATCATCCATGTGCTGCTCGCTGGCCCAGTTCATGTTGGGCTCATACAGCATTTCGTCTCGATCCTCGCCAGAGTTATCCAGTTCGTCCTCAGTAGACACCAGGTCTGTTGCGCTTTTGCGATGGCCGTTTTCATGATTTGTTTCGTTTGCAATTTCATTTCCGTTTGACTGATGATGTTTGGCCACGCCCTCCTTGAGGGACTTGTCAAGCAGCAGCTGTTGCTGCTGCTCTTTTGCGGGTCGGTGTAGAAAATCAAAAAACCGTGACGCCGCTGAAGCCGTTGAGGGATCGGATGAACCAGCTGCGTTGCCACTGTAGCCCCACAGTTGACTGGGGAAATGCTGCTGCTGCAGCTGCTCGCGACGCAGCTGCTCTCGCTCCCGTTCCCGTTCTAGCTGCACCTGCTGCTGCTGCTGCTGCTGCTGTTGCTGCAGCAACTTGTGTCGCATGCTCCCCCACGTCGCTGGCTCTAGGAAAACACGTTTACCCACGTTCTTCAGTATGGCCCGATTCAATTCGACCTGTGCGCATCAAGTGCAAAGTAAAGAGAGAAAACGCTTGGCATTAAAGGAGTGCAGAACATGTCACGAGTAATTCGCAATGTGAGCCACAGCCACAGCTCCTAAGAGATATGAACCTATACTAACCCTACAACCTTAGCCCGTCTCTAGACACACGTTTGGTTTATATGACATACATATTTAATTTCTCAAACAGCCAATTTGATTTATGCTCAGCTTAACACATTTTAATTTACATTTTTAACTCGATTCTGTTGGGTCATTTCCTGTACCAACTAAACTCATTACATTTTAGTCTCCTGCAGATGTGGAAATAAATAAATGAAAAACCTCCTTTCTCGACAAAGCTAGTTATATTTTAGTGTCAATGAAATAATATGTAAATAAATAAATTAAAGCGAGGTAATTCCAGAAAAATCTTTGTATAAAAAGAAGAATGAATCAATGTATAACAAAAATAAAATATTATAAATAAGAACTGCTTTCTGTTATATGATTATCAATCGATATTAATCGATCTTTGGTATAAGATATCCCTAGTTTATAATTAAGTTTCTATTTTAATACATCGATATTTTTCGTCTTATACGGAAATTCATTTCAATAATATAATCCCTTTTAAGACCTACAAAATCAATGCCCATAATTGCAAAGATAATTGCATTGCTACTATAATTGTAATATCAATCATGCTTATCAGCTAGTAATCGGAATACCCATTTCAATGGGTTTCCAAAATAAATCTAAAGAACAGAGCTTCACTTGCGGAACTGTGGTGTGTTTTAGATATCACCCAATTTAGTCACAGTTTGGAAAATTCCTTGGACTGTTTACTGAAGATAAGACAGTACGCGTCAGTGCGCATCGTTGGGAATTTTTCATTTTCAATTATTGTTGCCTTATAAAAGACACAAAAACCATGGAATGGTCAAACAGTTGGGATCTCACAACCTAGCAATGAAAGTCCTAACATTTGTAGTACTAATTGGGAGCCTTCTTGTGGCTTTGGCTGCAGCAAAGCCACAAGGATATCACCATGGAGACATTGAACACCAAAGATGGCCATATGAAGCGAGCAATGATCAGCAGAAAATGGGTCAACGACCGATGACTGTTGAGGGCTCTATTGGTAAGTGTCCGATATTCTATGCGGATATTCATATATTTTACATGAGAGTCGAACTATTTTTGAAATTCTGCTATATTTTTTAGATCGTCCTGACGAGCGTCCAGGTAGTGGACAGCGTCCTCCCTACAACCACGAACTAAATCCGTTCGGCGGTCAACGTTCTCAGCCCGATCAGCGTTCTCCCTATAACCAGGAGCAAAGTTCATTTAATGGACAGCAATCGCAAGATTCATCCAATGGACAGCAGTTCCAGCCCTATCAGCGTTCTCCCTATAACCGCGAGCAAGGTTCATCCAATGGACAGCAATCGCAAGATTCATCCAATGGACAGCAGGTCCAGCCCTATCAGCGTTCTCCCTATAACCGCGAGCAAGGTTCATCCAATGGACAGCAATCCCAACCTGGTCAGCATCCTAAGTATAATCACGAGCAAGGTTCATCCAATGGGCAACAATTTCGGCTGTATTTTCTAGGTCGTACTGACAAGCGTCAAGACAGTGGACAGCGTATTCCATATGACCACGAGCTAAGTCCGTTCGGTGGTCAACGTCCTGAGTCCCATCAGCGACCTCACTATAACCACGAGCAAGGTTCATCCAACGGGCAAGAACCGCAACCCGATCAGCGTCCATCACATGCGCACCATCGTCATCATGACCGCCGCTCACAGGACGAGGATGGCACAACTTTTGAGCCTGAAGAGTCAACTACAGTCGAGCCTGAAGAGTCGACCACAGCCGAGCCCGAAGAGTCGACCATAGCCGAGCCTGAGGAATCGACGACCCTGGAGCCAGAGGAAGGTACCACATTATAGAAAGGTAAACACTTTCTATAGCATATGAAAATATATTTGTATTGAATTGAGTATTCTATTAAAGTGTTGGTAGACAAGCATAAATCTTCAGTTTTCTGTTCTACACTCTTTCGTTGCCCAAGCCCAATTGTGCGTATGCACTCGAGAGCTTTCCTTTCACGGCGCTCGCACTCATGCAGCAATTTATAATATGCCTTTGACAAATCAATACGTGCGCCTTGACATGTGTAAATGGAGCACACAATTTCTTGCGACCCGCTCTCATCTGCAAGCGAAGAATCCGCGTTAGTCGAGAGGCACCCAAGGGCCAAATCATTTGAATTCCTGCCATTAAATCGTTTGATTTTTTTTTATTCGCCACAATTTACCTAACGCCGTGGGCTGCATCAACATTTAGGTAGCCAAATAAATTTTACTTTGTTGCCAGGGCGAAATATTTTTCGTATTACGCATACGACACGCTGGCTTCCCCTTTAACGTACAGAGAAAGGATGCCCTAAGCCTTTGCCTGTTTAGCTGCCAACCATCCTTAAGCTACTGAAGCCTTTTTTATATACCCTGTGCATGCCAACTGATTGAGAAAGGGTGTTTGAGAAACCAAATTTTGTAGTGTAAACAGATAAAAGCATTTTGCCAATAGTTTAGTATATCCAATGATAATAAATAGAAAATGTAAAACGTTTTCAGTTTTTAAAGTCGACCTTATTAGAGGTCATTCATATGTCCGGCATACCCATTTGAACAGATTCGTTCCGCTAACCTTTTGATATCTACCGCAGTGTTATTTACATGTCTACCCAATGCGGGTCTGTCAATACCTAGCGATAAGACTCGCCTTTGGGCTGTTGTCTGACAAATGGGCAGCAACGTGGCCAGATACGGGCAGGAAAGGAACGGAGATGCTGGAAACCTGACCTTGCCAGCCAGGCATTTGGCGTTTGTTTAACAAAAAATAAAAACACATTCTTCCCTTTCAGTTGGCTGGCAAATTAAAAAAGTTATCGCAAGCGATGTGCATTTCATGGACTTTGAAGTTGCTGTCCAACTTGCTCTTCCATTTGCAACTCTAATTTTGATTAGTTGCAACAATTTTCCATCTACATTGAATCGCACTCTCAAATGAAAATCGCATATTGCCCAGGCATTTCTTTTGTTTATCTGGCGAGCTGAACAAAACAATAATGAAAAGTTTTTCAGTGCTCATTTGCGCTTATTAAAAATACCAAGCCGGACAATGAATACCCTCCGGCCACCTGTACGCTTCGCTCACCTGCCGAGTGTTCTCCTTCATCTGTCTGCGCGCAATCTCCAAGAGCAGCCGCTGGCGCAGCACATCCAGCGGATTGACAATGGACAGCGACGGTTTATTCCGCTTGGCCAGCGAGTACTCATCCTGAAAATAGAAAACGAAAGGGAAACATAGAGATCCAATTTTGTATGCATTCATTTTTTAACTTCTGCTTACAGTGCACAACAAATTCTTAATTTAAAAAGTTTTCAACTGAGAATCTGTTTGAGTTGGTTCTCACTTTGTTACGCTTGTTTTGCACAAATATCTTCATGAATAGCCAAGTTATGAAAGTTTCTAGATAAGTTAATACAGGTCTTTGACAATATTAATGTACATAGAGACAGACAATTGACGCCTGAATTATATAATATACAAAATTGAATAAGAGAGAACTTTTCCTATTTCTGATATAATGAAAGTCTAAAGATAAACTTAAATTCTGGGAACATCTAACAAATTATAAAAAACAAGTCTGCAATTATTTTAATTTATATGTGAAAATGGGTTTTTAATGGGCAAATAATAAATCATTTAGCTTTACAGTTAAACCCCAAAGTGTGATAAGCATTTCCGAGTTTCTGTTTGCTATTTTTATTATTTTTGTTTATAATTAAAGAGTTGATTAGCGGTTTTCGTTGTTTGCTGCATCCAAATGAATAAATATTTACAATAATTTGCAAACTCGGGCAGCTTTCAGATAACAGACTGTGTGTAAACAAGTCAGTGTAGATAACATTGAGACATTCTAGATGATTTTTGAATGACTAATGATAGATAACATGTACACGTATCATGATCAAGGCCAGCAGAACGTACTTCTTATCAATCAATTTTCGTTATTGTATCATAAGACTTAATGCCAATTACAATTTTCATATATTAGCATAAATTGACCAATGCGTAAAAGTGTGGGAAGTCAATAAAATCTATGTCATATATTAGAGAAAATCTCAGAAATTCATAGAGAACATGATAAGCCCCAAGGCTGCTGGCCATAAGCTAAACCGCGAATTGGTCAAGTTGGACAATGTGAACGCCCCCAATTATCAAGTCTGGCAAAGTCTTGTGATTGGTAATTGATCATAGATAACTCTAGCCCCGCCTATGCTGGCAATTGGTCTGTGGAAAATACCCGAAGGTTAGACGATTGCCGATTAATTTTCAGTTCCTTGTTATTGTTTATTTCGGAGTGGAAAATACCATAAGGTCAAATAAAACCTTAACCTGCCCAACGCCAATTTTCAAGGTTAATCGAAACTAAATCAACCAACGAAAGAACATAATTAAGTACGAAAAGAAGTCCCGGGTACTCCACAATGAAATTTCACTTTTTTTGCCCTTTTCGTTATCAAACATTGTTGCGCAGATAGCGATTAGATATGAAATTTTTGTTGTAGTCATGAATGGCCAGTATGTCTGCGAGCCATGGTAACCTGCTGCCAATAGCCCCTTGCTTTCATGATATAAAATGCTCGGGCTATACTCCGGGCCATTTAGTATACATCGAACAATAGTAAAATGAAGGTTATAACAATTGCGTTATTCGTGGCTCTCTGCGCCGTGGTCGCGGCCAGGCCGAATGGCTTTGGCTGGGGACGTAATCACGGCGGCTGGGGGGCAAACATCCATCGTGATGATCAATGGCATGACAGAGTAGGCAATTTGGAACATGGTCGCTGGAATAAGCATGAAGATAGATGGCAGGGAAGGTTTGGCCGCTGGCACAGAGATGAGAGTGGTTGGCATAGGGACGACCGCTGGAGACATCCGAATTTCCATGGAATGCGTCCTGAACAACCTACAGCATTGCCAAGCTCCACAGCAGCTCCCGTGGAGACTACCCAGGCTTCCGAATCAACTCAGGTCCCTGAACAGCCAATTGAAAGTAGCCAAGCACCCGAGGTGACAACTGAGGCACCCGAAGAATCTACACAGGCACCCGAAGAGTCTACAGAAGCACCTGAGGAGAGTACGCAGGCACCCGAGGAGTCTACAGAAGCACCAGAGGAGACTACGCAAGAACCAGAGGAGTCTACAGAAGCACCGGAAGAGACCACAGTTGCACCCGAGGAGTCYACAGAAGCACCTGAGGAAACTACTCAGGCACCCGAGGTGTCTACAGAAGCACCCGAAGAGACCACAGTTGTATTCGAGGAGTCTACAGAAGCACCAGA